GCGCCCAGCATGCGTTTGTGTGCCCGTGTCCGTTTGCGACCTCACCAGCTGCTGCCCGCTAATCATGGTGCACCTGCGTTTTTAGTCGATACAGGCCTTTTGTCCTATTGGTCCCTTTCAAAGCCGCCACTCGCAGATGCTCTCTCCTATTGGCCGAGGCCACATTTTCTTCACTTTGCATTAAACACTGTGTATTTGTGTGAGTGTGTGTCTCTCTAACACTGCAGCTGCTGACTGTGAGCCTGGAGGAGATGGAGAAATGAAGCAGAATCACCTGATCCTTCACTTCTGAGTGAGCTGCAAACCAAACGTAGCACCTGTTGGGCTGATCAGACAGGAATCGGCGGGGTGGGCGGGTCAGCGGAGAATGGCAGCATGCCCGTTTTGGCCCGCGCAGGCTAGCGCCGTAAATGTTTTTAATTAGCGAATAGCCACAAAGCAGGTTAGCTAATGCTGCGCATGGGGAGGCGGATAGAGGGAGAGGCTGGCTTAGCGGCTTTGCTAGCCTGAGCAGAAGGAACGTGCCAGGGGTTTGAGCCAGCGTTGGAGAGAGGGTGTGGGGGGCTGGAGGTGGATTTACTCTCTCTCACGCACACAGTCTATCTCACAGGGCTTATCTTTATCCACAGTCTGTGGAGGGTTTCATCTGATGTCAGCAGAGATGGAGAGACTGAGAGGGAGAGCTGGAACTCGGAAAGACAATGAAAAGAAGGATCCTGAAGAGATTTGAAAGCGAGAGAAGAGGACTCGGGGAGGGTGTCTGTAGATGTGAAGGGAACTGTCCAGCTGGGATCAGCTAAGAGGGCTGGACGGTATAGCTGGATATCCGGGAAGCTTTTGTTATGAATAGATAAAGCGGAGTGAGGGAGACAACACAGAAAGAGGCAGCGTGGAGCTCGGCGGTGACCGACCTGGGGATTAAAACAACGCAGACTGACTGGCCAAGCGAGAGAGGGAGCAGGATATAACACAAGAGCAAGAGAGGGACAGTAGAAGGGAGGGATGGAGTCAGAGGGGTCTTTGTGCTAGATGTTTGGGAGTTCTTTATTCCCTGGCACTGGCCCAATCCCCAATCCCCAATCGGGCTGGGAGGCTTTGAACCCGGGGCTTTTCGAAAGAGCAGCATGCTCTCAGGGCAACACATGGCCATAACAAAGAGCCGGGCAAAATGCCCGGTAAGTCACAAAAGCCCTGTCCCTTAGGTCATCGGCAGAATTCAGCATGTGCCGCCGTGTCTCTGCCAATCGGCATGCCAAGACCTCGGCGCTAATAACCTCCATCATAAGGTTCTTATAATAAAGCCCCCCAGTTTTATTCCCGTGCTCGCACACGGAGAAAGGCTAATTATTACTGCGAGGAGACCGACAGCCCCTCCACAAACATCCAGCACTCTGCTCGCACACATTTGGAGGAGGGTGCATTCATCACTGTTGGAAAATGAACCATC